TTTTTCTTTCCTTTTTTTCTTTCTTATGTGCTGGTTCTATGATAAGTGCAAAGAAGTTAAGATTTATTTCCAATAAATTGTGCTGCCATAGTAACCAACGTCACAATTCTCTGAAGATTGATTTATGCTTCAGTCTGCATCCTAAGACCACACAGTGTCCAGTGACATTTGCCAGTGGTATCTTCTGGAGCCAGTTCCTAGAAAAACGATGGATATACTTTCCTGTCTGGGTGCCATACCAATTCACTTTTTATTCTATCTGATCAAAGAACAATTTTATGTAGAGCGTGTCAGCTTTTAAAGAAAAAAGGCAGTAGATTAATTTACGTAGTACAACACTATAACAATAGTCAAAAACCTAGGAGGGTTGGGGAAAGGTACAGTGGCTGAGAAGATTCACATTCACTTGGGTATTTCCTCCTTTTCTCTCTTCCCCACTGGGTTAACCAGTGATTGAACTATCCTAAGGTGGTACAGACTGCAGACAGGATTTGTGGAACTTTGCTAATGGTAAACTGCCTTTCCCCACATAGGATGTCTAATTTTCATTTTCGGCATTGAATGAATGTGATGATTCATTGTTACGTGAGCTGAATTATCTGCATTTGGCTGGTGCTGATCTGCAGCACTTTCTGTTCCCTGAAATTATGAATAATGCATATATCTCCCTCTAATTGCAGGCTACTAGTGGGGAAAACAAATGCACAGCAGCTGCCTGGGAATCAAGATTTGAATTGTTTCCAATCCATATTACATTTACCTGACATGTTTACTGAAATCACCTCTTTCCAACACAACTACTGTATGCTTTTGTCACCCTTCAGGATGCCCTGAGTGACCTTTTCATCTGAGGCCTTGTCCAGAGACATTAAAGCTCTGAGTGAGATGATCTGGATCATTCAGCCCTTGCTATTTTCAACAGAAGAGCACAGGATGTAAGCACATAAACAGTTTGTTACCCAAGCTCCTTTTTGAAGATGTTTTTCTTGAGTAAATAACGTTTCTTGTATTAAATGAAA